GGCAGAGCAGATAAGGTTGGGAATGAAAAGAAAAGAAAAGAAGAACAAAAGAAAAAAGAAAAAGAAAAGAAAAAAAAAAGGAAAGAAAAAAATAAATAAAAAGGGTATTATGGACATTTCGTCCTTCTTGACTACCGGGCGAAGCTGTTTTGCCAAACGGTCCAAAAAATTGATTCAGCTCCCTAAATGAATCTGCTTCACAGGTGAAGTCATAACTGAAACTATTTTAACTGGAGCTAGAGCTCTACCAAACGAACCCTTCATGTGAAATTCAAGTGCGGTCCTGCGTCGAATTGGAGCTGCTTTGCAGGCACCTAGGAGCAGCGCACATGCATGCATTATGCATTGCACGATGCACCTAGGGAGCACCTAGGCACCTAGGGCTAGCTTGAGGTACCTACTGGATGCACGATGCGCTACACCAATGTTCCGTGCATCTGCCGTTGGCATTGTCAAAATCATCCGATCGACATCATAGCGCCTCCATGTGAAACCAAAATTTCAACCAAGATACTCACTTCCGAAGAGGAATCTTCCGTTTCTAGTGTCTGCAGTAAGAAATGTCACCTTACTTATCTTTAATTAACCTCGTTCAAATTTTCAGGTCCAACAGACTACTACATAAACAATTTATAGTAACATCATCAGTTTTTTTACCTTTTCTTACTTCTGCAAAAAGCATTTGTAGAGACCGCCTCTAAAAAATGGTTCCTAAAATGAGCCGCCTCTAGAAATGCATTTGTAGGGGCAGCTGGTATTTTCAAGCATCTTTAGAACTATAGATGCCCCTAGAAATCGATTTCTAGAACTACAACAGCCTCACCGTCATTTGTTCCTCCAGCACAGGGGTGTCGATCCCCATCCATCGTAGCAGCATTGTCATTGACGCGGGAGGGGGTGCAGCCATTCGTCACCGCCACCCTGGTGAGGGAGAGGAGGTAGGAAGGAGGCTGATGGGCCCCGTGCAAGAGAGTGGGGTGCAGTAGGAAATAGAAAGAGTCCGAGGATTGATGGGAATGCGAGAGTGGGAGGGGAGGCTAGGGTTCCTAACTATTATATACTCACTCTCAAAAAGAAAAATGATTATATACTCCTAGGATGTTCGCGGACTAAAATGGACCTTTTGCAGAGATGATAGATGTGCAAATATTTTCACCACCATTGGTACGATGAACCGATGGTGAAAATACTTTTCACTGCCAGCTCGAAATACAAACCAACAGTGAAAATCACTTTCATGAATGGTTCATATGAACTAGCTGGAAAATGTATCACCAATGGTTTTGTTCAAACCCTGGTGAAAATGCCGTTGGTGAGAACATTACTGTAATAGTGATTATCCTATTCTGGTCATTGGAAATATTTTGTTCATTTCATAGGTTATTTAGTTAACCTTTGAGAAGTTTTGTGTAAATCTTTGTTATACGAATGCTGTAGATAATGGATTTTTCCTTTGCTGAGTATTTTTTGAGAATTGTTAAATAAGCAGTTGAAAATGCATAAAAAAACATGAAGGGAAAGAGCTGTTGCCGTGAACGGTAGTGCATTTGTAGTTGTTTAAATGATGGTTTTGGGTGTTTTAATGTGTTATTCGTTGTTTGTACTTGCTTGCGTGATGGGGTATGTACTGAGACTTGCTTCAAAAAATGTGACTTACCTTCAGAGCGTATCTAGCTCTGTTGCTCGATCTATCAGTCAAGCTAAGTAAACATGGCGTTGTGGTTCACAAGATTTAGTTTTGTTCTATGAATTTCCTCCACTAGTTTTAAGTGTCTTGAATTATCCATGTAAAATGAAATGTGAAGTCATCGCTTTATTTTGTAGTATGCTTTTCTATAGCTTATGGTTTTTTTTTTGAAATTGTAAATTACGATGTATATAAAGTGCATGTATTGTAGCATTTCATTTGCACACTCCCAGTTGATATGTATTTGTAGAAACAGTAGCTGGATTGTGCGGTATATACTGGTACAGGAACACATTAAAATGGTCAATGTGGTTGCAACCTTCACTCTCTTCCTTGTGACATGTCGGTAGAGGCGATATCATGCATTGCAATGTATCATTTGCACTTGCATTATGAAGTGATCCATGTTGTCTTTACCATGCTATTTAAATTTCATGCTGACTCAAACTATAATTTGAATTGCTTTGTTAAAGGAGTTTACGTTGTTGCTAAGGTTTTCCTTAAACTTGATACGCTTGCTCCCCATCTCTAGTACATGAGGTTCAAGAATGCTTGACAGAATTAGAGTAGCAGCACGAGTGCATAATTCTTGTTATACACAATACACTTGAAATAAACACATATGTTTGTAATAATGTTAAATGTTGGAGTTTTATCTTTTGCTTACCCATTGATGTGGCCGGTTGTAGCTCAAGTTAATTTGTTAGCGTTACAACATCTTACAAGAACTAATTTAATGTTTAATCTAGATGACACGTTTTGCTTCTGTGTTCTTTTTCAAGATAATATTCTTTACTATCATTTGTGCTTTCTTGTTATATAGTAGACGCCTGATTCAAGTGTGATAATGCTTGGGAACGTTTTGCAATGAGGTACGACACAGGCAATGAAAGTCATTATGAAACCGTTGCATTACAAGCAAATTCTTGGATTCTTCGGAACGAGACAAACATCAAGTCATGCAGCGCACAAGGTAACCTGACATCAAATTAAATGAAAGAGGATGAAATTGGAGAAAATCATCTCTTATTGACGAGGACATAACTCCTATGGATACCCACAACACTCTTCAAGCTGCGATGCCAGGAGCAATTACTGGAGTGCGAGCACGGCAAATAAATTTACAGATGACCTCGTTCTTACTTACTTTATTTCATAGTTATGCTAAATTGGTACCTAAAGATATTATTATTATTAGGAAATACATGGTGGATAAGGCGGAAGTACTTGGGAAAAGACATGGAGGCTGGACGTTCATGTCTAGATGGAGGCCTAATCCATATAAGTTCGAGTCGAGCTTGGCCTCCAGGACCACCCTACGGGACACGTCCGTTCTCCATTTTCAATGGTCCATATATGGATGAAAAGATAATTCTATAAGCTCACCAATGCCATTGGTTTCGCCTCAAAATTCCACCAGAACCAACGGAATCGTCGAGATGATGCGGCCTCCTCCCCTGACCGGATCCGGTGGAGGGCGGCCGGATCTGGTGGGAGGCATTGGTAGCCGACATCATGGCAGTGGCGGGCTTCCGTGCCCGGATGGACGCCGGTTCAGGGCTTTTTTATTTTGATTAACAGAGGTGGCCATTTAGAACCACCTCTAGAAAATCATATTAACGTAGGCGTTAGAGTACAGGCGTTAGCGATTTTTGGAGTCTGAGAGCCCATTTTCAGAGGCATTAAAAAAACAAACGCCTCAGTAATTTCATTAACCGAAGAGGCCCACCTCCGGTAATAAGGTCAAGCCCGTTTGCAATTTTCTTGGCCCATATTGGCCTAATATCACACTTGGAGTATACATATGGACATTTAGTTTCTTCTCATTATTCTCACCGCTCTCTCCATTCCAGTGCGGCGGGCCCTCCTTCTCCCGTGTGGCATGCTCTCTCTCTCACTCCTACGTGGCACGCTCTCTATCTCACGGAGCAAGGGGGCTGGAGGTGGCCATCGCGTGCTCAAGCGGAGGTCGTGGGCGGCGCTCACGCTGAGCTCGCGGGCCAACGGGGGCCAGCGCTCACCCGGAGCGCGCGGGGCGCCACCTCAGCGTTGTGAGGGTGAGGCGGCCTCCACCCCGGTGGCAGCATGAGTGGTGCCACTTCTAGCCCGGTGTCTGCGCGGGGGAGACGGCCTCCTCCCCTGACCAGATCCAGTGACGGGAGGCTAGATCCGGTGGGAGGCATCGACAGTAGGCATCGTGGCAGCGGCAGGCTTCCGATCTCGAATGGACTCCCAATTGTGGGCCTTTTTTTGTTTTTATTTTGATTAACGGAGGCGGGCATTTAGAATGGCCTCTGGAAAATTAGATTAATGCATGCGTTAGAGTACAGGTGGACTTGCCTCCGATAATCTTTTTTGACCACCTGCAGAAAGATTTGTGTAGTAGTGAAATTAAATAAATTTGCCAGTTATGAGCAACCATGTTTATTAAAAAAAATATGATATGCCTCCATATACTACAAAGCATTGACATGCTTACAAGTTATGACCAACGGAAGAAAAACTTTATCATACCATGAGTGGGTCAACCCATCTTACTTGTTGGGTCAACTCGTGCTTATTGGCTACGCGGAAACGCTCAACTCCAGTGTTTCTAGCTAGCCAGGCTAAGGGCGTCACAAATGGTTTCCATATAGCTAGTCTAGGAAGAATTCTATTGGTTATCAAGGGGTGAGATCAAATAGCTAGCGATTCCCAAATAACTTGTCTCTCCACTACAATGTTCTTTGTTTATTATTTCTAAGGCTCATCTAGCTAGCTATTTGCAATTTACCATTGAGGACGCCTAAGACCCCTTGGGTGGTTTCCGGGGGCCTGGCTAGGAGCCTTATTCAGCCAACCAAACTGACACAAGTTGGCTCCATGAAGCCTGGCTAGTGGATAGCCAGGAACCAAACAGACCCTATGTTCCAACCCTGTTGACCAATTTAAGATTTTGTGGCCAGCCTATGACCCATTAGCCTTAGTTTTTTTGTGGGTCGGGTCAATTGGCCAATAGATGGACCCGCACCCAACCCATTCTCTTTTGCCTACACGTATGTGCAGTCCTAGTACCAATGCTGCTGTGATAGGGCTTTAGATAAGGGAGTAAAGGCCCTTCATGTACCGGTGCTTGATGGGCAGTAAATTGTAGACACAATAACTACAGTAGGAGGATGGTTGGTATGGCGTTGCATTTAGTTTTCTTATCTGCCTTGTATCCAAGCTCTCCAATGTCTATATAAACGCAGAATCGCCAGCAACCGAAGCCGAACTATCGAGAGAGAGAGAGAGAAATACAGAGAGAGAGAGAGAGAGAGAGAGAGAGAGAGAGATGATGATGATGAGAGTGGCGGTGGTGGGTGGCGGCCTAAGCGGGCTAGTGGCTGCGCATGAGCTGGCGAGGAGCGGCGGCGTGCGCGTCACCGTGTACGATAAGGAGGACTATCTCGGCGGTGCCAAGACCGTTGCCCTCGACGGCGGAGCAGCAGGCCGTGTTCTGGTCGACCTGGACTTCATGGTCTTCAACCGGGTGTGGAACATGCATACACACGCAAACAGTTGCATTTGCTCTCCTGTTCCTAGATTAGTCTGCTACCTATATACTGTATGATATATATGTGCCACATGACATGAACATGATTGATCAATACCATTAATATAGTTGAAGAGTGGAACACGCATACCATTGACTGTAAAATGGTGCGAAAAATAAAATCAAAGTTCATCATTCCCAAGAAAGGTTATTGGTCTTTTCTTTTGTATAGGTAGATAGAGATCATATACACCTGCACTCGATCTGGAACTCGAACAGTCGTGGGAATACGTCTGATATGCTGGCGCTGCTTGTGGGGTGTGCAAGCAAATTGGCCAACATCAGCACCCTTCTGCACGGACAACCATGCATGAGTCCATGACGGAGATGCCTTGTGTTGTTGCGGTCTTGTGAATGCTCCTCGCAGCAATCCATGGTAGGCCAAGGTCATTTTGGTTGCAGTCTTGGAGGTTGGATTAGACATGCCAGAGCCCCACATTCATCTAGAAGGGAGCACCAGCCCTGTCCCCGTTCGTTGCTGTTCCAGAAGCATATGCTGTTGTACCAAAAGCCATTAGACTGATTGACTTTGTGCTTAATCCTAAGAGATGAGCGAGCTGTCTGAACATATGATATTATTACAATTATGTCCTTTGAATTTAATTTGTAAATAGTTTCTGGCCCACCTAATTGCCTCATACTAGGTTGATTTAATTTTTGTATCCATTAATTGGATCTAAATAAATGAATGGGTATCATTATTTCCAAGCAGCATAAAACTCCTATGTTTCTAATGGAAAAGTTATTAACAAGTCAGAATTAAATAAAACATTTTGGTATGGCCATTTTTGCTCATTTTAAGCTTCAAGTAAAGAAATCTCACACGTGCACTACTACCGAATTGATATTTCAATTGTTCAGTCGGTTGTAGGAACCACCTCTACTCAGGGCATATAAATTAAGGATTTGTACGGGTGGATATGTTACCACCACTAGAAATCTATTTCTAGAGGTCGTTGATCTTTCCTGCTGCTCCAACACAGGGCCGTTGATAATGTGGCCCACATATAAAGATCATTTTCCAGAAATTGAAACAATATAGCAAAAAAATAATGTTAGAACAAAACTACTGGTCCTAAACTGTGGCGGCATATGATGAGTTAGAATTGACTATGTTTTTCTTGTGAGATACGTGCGCATGTGGTACCTAGCCTAGGACTCTAGTAGTCAAGCTCAAGACCTCATGCTTGCACGAACATTACCAACCACACTAGATCTCTTGTGACTAAGTAAACGAAACTATCATTTTGCATGATTATCTTCTACTAATCACATGTTAAATATTTTGGCTCCCAAATGGCTTGAAATGTGAAAAGTGTTAGCCACCAAGTTTTAGATCTCGTAGAGCACTACAACTTTTGTATACGACATATCTCGATCCTAGTTGGTTTAAAAATAAAAAAATTTGAAATCAAAATTTCAGAAAATAACATATTTTTAGGACACAAAATGATTTAAATTGGAAAAAGATCATCAACTACAAAGTTGTAGATCTGTTAGACCTCTACAAGTTATCCATAAACATTGTATTAATCTGACTTTATTTGGAAAATTGTGATTTTTTGTACTGCACATATTTTTATAGGCTGGTCAAATAAAATGTATATAAATGTATCAAACGTAAATCTAGTTTAAATCATTTATATTTATCATTGCTCTTCAACTACTTGCAAGTAAGCAAAAGGGCTCTAATTTTACCACCGATGGTACAATAAATGGCCTGGATTCCTGTGTACCATCATTTCCAACTTGTACCTCCCCAAGGTCCAGCTCCCATGTTTGGGGATGGGTTCAGCACATACCTAGATTCCTCATAGCAACAGATAATCAAATGGACAACTATTACAACATACACATCCAAAGCATCAAATAGAAACAAATGTACCATTGGTGTATAGTATTGTATGGGTATCACCTCCTCTTCTACAATAACAAAAATAATGAATTGCAGGTGACGTACCCAAACATGATGGAATGGTTTGAACGTCTAGGGGTGGAAATGGAGACATCAGACATGTCATTCTCAGCAAGCATGCGGTTAAACAAAGGTAATGGCTTTGAGTGGGGTAGCCGCAATGGTATATCTAGTGTTCTGGTGCAGAAGAGCAATTTTCTTAGCCCCAGATTCTGGCTCATGATCAATGAGATATTCAAGTTCAAGAACCATGCTCTCAAGTGAGTTTACTAGTTATTCTATCATCTGTTACATTGTTAGGATAACACTGTACAATGTTGGATATATACTATCTAGCGATCGATGTTTGTCCATTATTTTAAAGTCAAATATACATGGAAGCTGAATGATTGATAATTTTGCACCCTTCTTTTGTTTTAAAGGTACCTAGAGGACCATGCAAGAAACCCTGACAAGAATGAGACTTTGGGTCAATTTATTCAGTCACATAGATATTCGCAGCTGTTCCAGGATGCTTACCTTGTATGCTACTAATTGAATTATACATACTCTAACCACAGCTTCTCATATCAGTTTTAAGATGGTTGCACAAATTAAATATTGAATTTGCTGCAGATCCCAATGTGTGCATGCATTTGGTCCTGTCCATCACAGAACGTATTTGGCTTCCCTGCTGGTTTTGTGCTTTCATTTTTTTGCGATAATCATCTTCTTGAGGTGCCCAAAACTCTACTTCAAATATTTATTAGTTTCTACTGCATTCTAATTTGTGATACATCAGAAGATCTTATCAGTCTGGCTAATATTATGCTCATTCGTCGAATGGAATTATGTATGCATTCAGTTGTTTAGTCCCTTACAGTGGCTAAATGTCAAAGGTGGTTCAGGGTCCTACGTGAATAAGGTAACTGCAACTCTTTGTCCAAAAACATGGAATGGAATATGTTATATGACCTGGTTTTGTATATTAGCAGGTAAGGGAGGAATTGGAGAGCATGGGTTGTCAAATTAAAACCGGATGTGAAGTGAGATCAGTTTCAAGACTTAACGGAGGTAGATCCATTGTTCCATATCTAAGTACATGTACCTGGTGATTCATGAGTATTTCAAGTGACATGCACAGTTGCACATATATTTCCATTTTCTTGTTTGCATTTGTTGGATTTTTTTGCATTGTACTTATCAGAGCGATTATTGATTTCAAATGGTATTATATCCTTTTTGTTCCATACATAAATGATATCTTGTCATAACCTTTATGTGTACATGTTATTTTTTTTGGCAATTACCCATCTTCCAATCGTGTTATATCTATCAATTGTGGTTTAATAATTACATTATAGATGTTAAAATACCGCACAAGTTCTATATGTGCTCAGAGATAATCCACAGTATGGATATGAGAAAGATTATTCAAATGACCCAATTGGCCCACTATAGTGACCAACATGTACATGGATTCTGAGGGACATGTTTTTTAAATTTCCTACTACAGTCACTTCCTTATTGTAAATTACCCTACTTATTCACTCATGAGAAAAATGTTATGATGCTAAAAGCAGGTTACCAAATTTTTGAGACTGATGGCTCAGAAGAGATGTATGACAGGATCATATTTTGTGTTCATGCTCCTGGTGCTCTAAAAGTACTAGGAACAGAAGCAACACCTGATGAACAGAGAGTTTTAGAAGCTTTCCAGTATATCTACAGGTATATCTAACCTCATTATTGTGTTATTCTTTACTGGTTTCATTTTGTTGATACAATGTTTTCACAGTTCTTAAGTTTTCCTATTGTTGCAGTGATTTGTACTTCCACTGTGATGAAAGTTTTATGCCACATAATTCTTCTGCATGGAGTGCGAGGAACTTCTTGGGGACTACAAGCAATGGTGTTTGTGTTACATACTGGTTAAATATACTTCAGGTGCTGTTAGTTTGATTATTTTTCTTGTGAATGATGGATGATGATTCAATAATTTATATTATTTTTCACATGACATGGAAGAAGGATTAAAAATAACCATGGAAAATTGTCCTTTCGAAATGCTAGAACATTGAATCTGCCAGACCTTTTCTTGCAACACTCAACCCTCCTCATGTTCCCGATCATGTATTGCTTAAATGGCATACTAGCCACCCGATTCCTTCCATGGCTGCTGCAAAGGCTACTCTTGAGCTCAATAACATACAAGGGAAGAGGGGGATATGGTTCTGCGTCCCATATCAAGGTGACTTCACTCATTGTTTTCACTGAAACCTGTCATTATTTAACAAATTTCAGTATAATAAGTCTGAAATGTCCCTTTTTACTGAATAACAGGTTATGGAAATCATGAGTACATCATCAAGGTAATCATTTCCCACTTGGCCTTTTAGGTTCAATCACAAAGGCGCCAAAATGTTACTCAAATACTCATGGAAGTGCATTCTGTTTATGGCAAACTGAATTAATTTAGGCTGGGAAAGCAGTAGCTTCAGGGTTGCTTGGCAAGAAATGTGACCTTTTGGTTAACCCAAAACCCATGGTCCCATCATGGACTGAGGCCGGCGCACGATTTCTGATTGCAAAAAATATGGGCAAATACATAACCATTGGTAACTTTAGGTGAGGCTTGTAGGAGCTTGTGTACTACAGAATCCCTGATAATGATTCTCACTTCAGTTTTGTGCACAGCATGCTCGAAGAAGGAGGCACTACTCTTAGTTTTGGTAAAGCATGTGAAAGATGTCAACTAAAATGTGTGATACGAGTTCACAACCCCCAATTCTATTGGAAGGTTCTCTTATACCTACTTCTTTCATCCTTTTACGCTACCTTCTAAATTCTTCATCACGTATCCTTATGTGACAAACATCTAGGCTTTTTCATCCTTCTATTAGATTGCAACGGAAGGAGACCCTGGTTTTGCTTATTCCTACATCAATGGTTATATCTCGTTTGTTGATAAAAAAGAAGGCCTTCAGAATATTGTAGAGGTACGTATACAGTGGTCTCTTCGATTGATCCACAAATATTTTTAAATCAAATAAAATTGTTATACTAAATGAAGGCACAATCAAGATTATTGTACCCATACAATTCATGAACTAAAGGCTGAAATCTTTATATATTAAGGTATATGGGTTCACAAAGCTGCTCCCTTTTTATTTGCTGACCAAATTTATAACCCATATGGTACAGATTACTTTGGCTAATAGAGGTGAACGGAAGAGGTTGAGCAGTAGCCATGCCAACAATAAAAGGTACCTTAATTTTAAACAAACATTTTGTTTCAACAAAGTGAGGGACCAAACATAAGTGTGCTATTGATAAACTCATTTAAATGTGTCTTGCAGTAGTTATATAAAAAAGGGCTGGTGGACACCCTTGCTTCGAATCAATGGAGCTGCATTAGCAAAATATGTTTTGCATGAAATCTTAAGGAGAAACACAATATCAAAAGCTCGTAAAAATATCTCTGCACACTATGATCTGGTCAGTAGATTTTGTTAATTTTTTTTTCTGAAAACATATTATTACCATCTGCTTGAGATTTTCTGCAACTATTTTACTTATGTCATTGAATCAATGTCATAAATATTTCTAATTTCTTCTGTCCATCCACATGCTACAAATCATTTATTTCTAGTATAAATGAACAGTCAAAGTACTATCTTGTTTTGAAACATGCTTATTTGTATGCAGAGTAATGATTTCTTTGCTCTTTTTCTGGATCCGACGATGACTTACTCTTGTGGTATTTTCAAGGTATGGAAATACTGTGGTTCGATCTCCAGCTAGTATGTTACATGTAGCTTCATTGACGAACATGTAAATCATGTAACGTAGTGCTGTGAATAATAGTACACTATTTGAGATTACCTGGTTACCTTGATATTGGTTCCAATGATAGGTGGAAGATGAGAGTTTAGAAGCAGCCCAGCTACGTAAACTTGACAATCTAATTAATAAGGTAAAATGATCATAATATGTATGGTGCTCGGCTTGAACTCCGTCATCATAATTTTCTCCTGATTTTGAGCTTTCCATATTAACTTCAAGAGCTTGCATATATACACCAACATGACCTGATGATGTCTTCATATATTGCAATGACACCATTTAACTGAAGGCTAAGGTGGAGCCGGGGCATCATGTTCTTGACATTGGTTGTGGATGGGGCAGTTTAGCAATACGGTTGGCGAAGAGAACTGGTTGCAAGTGCACAGGAATCACATTATCCGAGGAGCAACTGAAATACGGAAAGAGAAAGGTGAAAGAATTTGGATTAGAGGTCAGTTATATTCCTTTATGATAGTAGTGGCCTGAGACTGTCTTTTAGAAATATTAGCTAGCATTGGAAAAACAAACATGATTACAGATATTAACTGTATATACAGGACCGCATAACTCTCCTGCTTTGTGATTACCGTCAAATACCGAATGGCCAAAAGTTTGACAGGATTATAAGTTGGTGAGTAGTACTGCTGGAGTGATCAAAGAATTGATAGATCAGCTGCTGGGGTCTGATAACTATTTTTTCCTTGCTCATTTAGTGGGATGCTTGAACACGTTGGCCATGAATTCTACGAAGATTTTTTTGCCTCCTGCGAGTATCATTTGGCAGAACACGGCCTACTTGTCCTCCAGGTTGATCATTACCAATATATATTTATCTTATACCCCATTGTATGATTGGCAAAAATGTTAGTCCTCACCTGAATATTTTTAATCTGAACATTAAATTTATATTCATAGTCCATCGCGTGCCCAGAGGAATTGTACGACAAAATGAGGACGAGGCCTGAGTTCCTGAAGGAATATATCTTTCCAGGTGGCTGCCTACCATCTTTAGCTCGGATTGCATCTGCCATGTCTAATGCATCAAGGCTATGGTATGTACTCAACTATATATATACTTCTTATAGCTATCATTTAACTAAGATGACCTCCATGATTGTAAGTTATTTATTGAGTACTCCTCTGCAGCATACAACACGTTGAGAATATTGGGTACCATTATTACCCGACTCTGATTCACTGGAGGGACAACTTTCTGGCCAATAGAGAGTAAGTACTAGCCCTAAATAACTCAACCTCAGCTACAAGTGATTTATTTACGTCATTCAATCAGTACTATTTTCTTTTTTTCTTTTTTTTGCAGAAAAGTTTTGGCCCTTGGATTTGACGAAAAATTCATCCGTACTTGGGAGTACTATTTAAACTACTGTGCAGCTATGTTCAAATCACACATGGGTTTAGATTACCAGGTATGGGTTTACTATCCACCATATATAGCTAACAATAGTAGTTAATAGCTTCAGTTATGTGCCACCTTTTGATCGACTGCTGTATGTACAACATGCAGATAGTGTTTGCTCGGCCAGGCGATGCAAAGTTGCCGAGCTATGTCGCCATTGCATAAATGGAGGATGTCGTGCTTATGTTTCCCAATATATGTGAGAGATGATATTGTATTTTCTCTGTTTGTGTGCGTTTTAGTACTCATGTTTGTGTGCTTTAATTTGCATGGAGATTGATGTTCCACGTAGGATGTGAATTAGTGGACAAGCCATCGACCGAGTCCTGTAGCGAAACATGTTGAGTGGCTGTTTATTTGAAGACTGGTTATCATATTGTTTAAGTATGTTGAGGTGTGTTAATAAAAGAGAAAAGGCACTGGGTTTTTTGTGCAACAAAAATTCCTTTGTGTGAATATTGTGTCTATAGACACTACTGGAGAAATGGTGTCTACAAACACCATATACATCCTGGCCAAATGAACAGGTAGTGATGATGTGCACATATCCCACACTTTATATTACAAGCTTGTAGCGATGCTAATAGTCAGTAATATATTCAGAGGTGCCTGCCCTCAATATATTCTGTGAGCTACTTAAGTGGCCCATCACCGAAAATGGTCTTGATTTTCAGAGACGGACTACAAAAGTGGTCTGCCTCTATTAGTTTATTTTCTGATATGGCAGTGTCTCCTAAAATATGTTGACCTTGCTTTGAAAATCACAGGCTATTTTTGGAGGCAATGAAGATTCTACCTGTCTCTGTTAATAAAATGAGTTGTCTCGTAAAATTGAAAGTTGTAGTTCTTAATACAATAATCTACAACTTTCTAGTATAAAAATTGTCAATTTACACATGTTTAGAGTACCAAATATGTGTTTTTGAAAGTCCATTGGCCGAACTGATCTACATGTTTGTTGTTTATAAGTTTTTAATTTGAAGTTTTTATTCAATTTTTTAAGCTTCAATCGGTCTCAGATGGAGACACGCCCTATACTAAAGTTGTAGTGCTTGACAAAATTTGAAACTTTGTAGTTGAAACTTTTATTCATTTGAGTTCACTTAGTAGCCAAACTATTCAATACAAAAGTACAAAATATTTATAAAAATGATAGAATACTATATATACTCACAGATGGTTTCGTGTTGCCGTGGTAGGGAGGTGTCACAATTGAGTTGTAGATCGTGGGGTTGAGTCATGAATAATACCAATTCTTTTATTTATTTTTTTGTTTCTTTGGAAAGTATTAACAGAGGCAATAACAGTGACCATTGGTTAGAGGCGGTCGCCTTACCCGTCTCTCAAAATAAATAATGCCCACCTCTAAAAATCTTTTCTATAGTACCATATAGGTAAAACATTTAGCTTGGGTTCTCAGTCACATCGTCGCTCTTGGGGTATATCTCTCCCCGATGGCCCTAGTTGATGACGTCCCCAATATATCTATTAGTGTCTCTTTCACCGTAGCTTGACAACATCCCTCTCTCAAACTGAGGCAACCCTCTATCTACCATTCCCTTCGGTGGCAGGGCAAAGGCATAGCAACTCTCCTTGTATGGCATGACTTAGATCTAGTGGATGGCGTGAAAACTCCCCTCTTCCCATGCCACCTTGGCCTCCTCCTCATCGTTGGTCGAAGTAGTGGCTGTAGTACGGCGCATAGGGCATCGATTGGCGGGCAGGCCATTGTGACCTCAAACCAAGATCCATAGCACATGGATGCGGCCGCCAGTGAAACCATGCCCCCTCTTTGTCTATAGCCCTCCTTTGTCGTCTCTATATCTATTGCCCTCTCTCACTAGCCTTGTAGTCTTATCTGGTCGACTGCGGCAAGCGAGCTGTGGCGCGGCGCAAGAGTCCTCCTCCTACCTCAAGTGGTGTGTGACGGGCTACAATCCTCTAGCGCGCAGCTAGGCTACTGGCCGATGATGACCTAAGCTGGCCGAGAACATGTTCGCCAAGGAGGTAGATACATGTCTCGTTGGAGGCTGCAAACTCGGTGATGGAGAAGCGGCGAGCTTGGTGAGAGGGCAGCATTTTGTTTTAATTTTTTAATCCACTATGACGACTAGGTTGTGTAATAAGCTAACAGTGATAAACACTTATCACCGCCTGTTTGAACCGGTTATAACGATCTTTATTATCGATACAAACTTTTACCATGAATGTCCCAAAACTGATGGTGATACGGGATTTAGAACCCATGGTGATTATTTATGTGTAGTACCCAGAGGAGATTGCAATAACTGGAAGCCTATTTTCACATGCCAGTAGCAAAAACCATAACCGGAGATCTTGTTTACCGAGGCCTGTTTCTATAGAGGAGATACTGTTTCTGATCATTACCATATACTCCCTCCGTTCCAATTTGTAAGCTATTCTACCCACTCTGCGTACATAGATTTTACTATGCACCAAGACCTAGATATAGATTATGAGTAGACACATAGTAGTGCTCTGGTTGGTTAGATGGGACTACTAGTAGTCCCTCCCATTTTAGTCCCAATTTGCCAAACAGATGGACTACTAGAGGGACTAAAGTGGATTTGAGCTGTAGTCCCTTGAGGGGAGGCTTTTTGGTACTACTGGTCTAAGTTGACACCCCATGCCCCTCAATAATTGCGGTCCCCAACCAGCCACATAGTGCGCTCGCACACGACCGCGAGCTCACCTTCCCCGTTCGCGCTCCCTCGCACCCTATGAAAGGATCTAACAATGCCTAGGGGGTGAATAGGCGTATCTAAAAAATTACTACAAATCCTAAGTTTAAATTTGCAGTCACTGTCGAAAGTCCCGACAGTTTGGGTCGAAACTTCTGACATCGTCAGAAGTTCTGGCGCAAACTGCCAGAAGTCCTGACACCTATGTGAACTACAAAAGTAGTGCCAAATTTAACTTTGCAGATATATAATCTTACAACCGCACTTCCTAGTGGTTAGATGAAGATGTTGGGTCACTCCCTTGACGCCGAGATGCCTCCAAATCATAGATCGAGTCCAAACCCTAAAAAGAAGCTTGGGAGAGAGAGACAAACAAATACAAGTAATTTCTAGCAAATCACAACAATAACAAGCATGAGGGACATAAAGATTTATCCCGAGGTTCGGCAACCCTACAAAGGAACTCCTACGTCCTCGTTGTTGAGGTGACCACAAAGGTTGGAGTCTCTTCCACCTCCAAGCATCTCTCAAGGAAACCACAAAGGCCACTTGAGCTTTCCACTAAGAAATAGATGGTAATACAAACTTCCCAAGGCTCTTCCACGAGATGAAAGCTCTTGGGCGATGCCTTGCCGGCTAGGAGCAAAGCTCCAAGAGTAATTGACTCAAATCCAACTGTGATGTCCAAGCGCAAAGCTTTCCACAAATCGAAGTTAGGAGCAAAGGGGAGAGAAGAGAGGAGCCTTGAATGCTTGGGAGCTGTTTTGGATGAAGGTTGGTGGCAATGAATGAGTGGATAACGGTTAGAAGAGATGAGAGAGCTATTTATACTTAAAGCAGAAATCTAACCATTCAGATCTACGTTGGAAGTTCCAACGCAGATCTTGGGACTTCCGACCTCTAGAGAAAACACTATAGAAAGCAAGGCCAAAGTCACTGCGAACACATCAACATCAGGAGTTTCGATGTTTGTCACGAGTTCCAACGGCCGAAACTATGGGTAGGCCAAAAGGTAAAGCATCAGGACTGCCGGCCAGAGCCGGGACTTCTGACCATCGGGAGTTCCGACTCATGTCGGGACATCCGACGTCAGGGTCATCGAACTGGTTAAGACACTGGGCACCGGTACTTCTGGCTTGAGCCAGGACTTCCGACAGTCGGGAGTTCCGACTCACGTTGGGACTTCTGATGCCGTAAGTCATCGAAAAACATTCTACGTGCTCGTGAAGTGCTAGATTGTGTCCCTTTTAATTTTATTTTTATACTTGAGCACTCTGTCTTCCTCAGACCACCTAAACTTGAATCCCTCTTTATAGTACGGCGGATCCTAAACTCAAAACAAAAGATAAGAACTTTGGAGAGCACTTATCCACCTTTTTATCTTCAAGAATTGAGGGATACCATTTCATCTTAGATCAACTCTTTAAAACTTTCAAGGGACTAAACCTGCAATATATCTCATTAAGATCTCATTAGTCCCTAATTTGGATGTCATCAATACACCAAAACCCACATGGGGGGCAAATGCACTTTCACCCTCACATGGCCCCCGCTCCATTTGTCGCGCCACCTCCCATGGCTGTAGGATCTTGGCGGGGCTGCTGGATCTCCGCGGCGGTGCTGCTGGATCTCGCTGGAGCTCGCCCACGCGTCGGCTGGCGCGAAGCTCGGCCAGACCCCTCCCCTTCTCCTCCTCTTCCTCCGGTGCGCAAGAGTTTCGGCGACAGGGATGAGGAGCCGGAGGAGCAGGTGGTAATGGACGTCTAGAGGAAGAAGAAGAGTATTTTAGTCTTTGTTCGGCAGCTTTAATGCCTTTTAGTCCCCTCTAGTCCATGGAACCAAACAGGGTAGGAGACTAAAGTTTAGTCCCTGTTTAAGTCTCTAGTCTCTGGACTAAAGAAGCAAACATGGCCTAAAGCTATGTATATAGAAAAGTTTGAATGACTTACAACTGGGTACAAAAAGAGTATAAACTATTATAATCTTTTTATTATCGCAGTGTAGTTACCGAGAAGGTTACATTTAGAAATATAGAAAATTCCTAACTGATCAGCAAAAATTACTATACAAAGAATATCGTTACGAGTCTCCCACTAGTACACTGGAGCTCAGCACTAGCGGTTCCAAAGGCATTTTTATTGGCGTCTGCACCCACCGCCAGTGTGAAGGCCAGTGGAGAACAAAAATACTACAGGCGGTTAGTTAAGATCCGCCGGTGTTAACACATTTTTACTAGCGGTTCCACTAAGGCAACCGCCAGTGATAATATTATTCACACAGGCGGTATAAGTAAACAATCCTCTAGTGTTAAAGTATTTGCAGTGGCAGTTCATTTAAGTCAGCCAATAGTGTAACTGTTTAAGCACAGGCGGTTAACCTAAATCTACCGCCTCTGGAATAATATTTCCAGAGGCGGTTTATTAGCAAAACCGCTAGTGAATTGTTTTTAAAAATTCAAAATTT